TGGGCTTCGCGGAGGTGGAGGTGGGAGCTTTGGGCTTAGGTGTCGCGGGCTTGGGTGTCGTGGTTTTGGGTGCGGAGGAGGCGGGTGAGGGCTGAGTGGGGAGGATCATCTTGGTCGAGGAGGATGAAGCGGGCAGGGCCTTTGGTGTTGAAGTCGATGGGAGGTTCTTCTTTGCTGCAGTGCCCTTGACGGGAGCCTTCTTCGCAGGGACGGGGCCATCGGCTGCTGTGGCGCTTAGTACAGAGGTGCCGTAGCCGGTGATCTGATCGCCAAAGCCTTTGATGCTGCCTGCGACGCCTGGAGTAAGAGGGAATATTAGCCTGAGATACTAGAAAACGCGTGATCTGTTTCAGAAGGCTTGAGGTTACAACTATTGGGTGACTTACCCTCGCCGACTGAGCGCCCTCCATTCTCGATGACCGAGCCAATGCCGCCCACAGCGTTCCCTGCGAGCGTGCCCGCTGCTGTTACGCCCTTTTCCAAGAGCCCGGTCGCGGTGCTGATGGCCTTGTTTTGGATGTAGTTTGTGATGAAGCCGGTCATGATGTGGCGCTGAAGGAGTGTTCCAAGCTCGAGAGCTTGTCAATGGATGCTCGGGAAGATATATCAAGATGTATGAACGCGGCTGTCGCTCAATGTCCGGGTGGAGAGGTCTTCTGTATTAATTTGGACCGAGATAATATGCCGAAATGGTATGAAGCAGTTAGAGTACGTATGAGACGAGACAATTCGTTCCAAGAGGCAGAGTGGAATAGAGGAGGGCTGGCAGTTCTCCGGAAAGGCGTTTCAATTCACGGTACGTTCAGCCACGCCTCGCTACGTCACAAACAGCATGCCCGGGCAGATCGTGGCCTGTGGGCCCAACGGCGCGAAGATCTCAGGGTTCGCGGTAGCACTAAACGGAAGGGTGTGGCACAGAACGCGCATCGAGACCATCATGTTTTAGTGGAGAGAGCGCCCAAAAGTTGGAAAACTGGGCAAACGGAGAATCATCCAAGCGTCGATTGCTTATAGCTGTTTTGCTTTGTGCTACGTACGCGTAGTACAGGTCATCCGACGATCATCCCCAAACTCAAACCACCAGAAGAAACGCCATACATAATCATACATGCAAAACAACCCCTGACCCTCAACCTAGAAAGGAAAAAGATGCTGTTTGTCCTCCATCACAGCTTTTAGCTGTCCGAACACAGGTGAAAGATTGTAAAGAAATGAATTATCTCGCCGTAACCATCGTAATCGTGTTGGGTTGGTGTTTTACGCGCCCTGTCTGGCCTTCTCGGCGCAGATCAAAGCGATGATTCTTGAGAGCTCAGCGGCCTGCGCAGCTTGCTCCTTGATCACCTTCTCCGGCACGCCCTCAGCCTTGGCCAGGTCTGCTGTGCTGGACAGCATCCGGTTTTGCAGGTGCAGCATCTTCTGAAGGGTGTTGTCGAGGAATGGCGCGCTGAACTTGACGTCCTCTCCCATGTTCAAGCGCATCTCGAGCTTGCGTGGCTTCCTCTTCTCCTGCGGATCCTCGAGGGGAGATGTTACTTGTGGCTTGGGACTAGAGCGGTGTTAGTTATCGCGGGTTTGCAGCTGTCCCGGAAGCATGAACTTACCGCTCAACAAATGTGATGCCCTCAGCCATCTCGGCGACTCTGTTTGCGATACGGCTGGCCATAATTGCGTAGGCTGAGCTCACGCCGTTCGTTGGGACGTCTCCGTTCGCAGACGCGGCCTTTTGCACTCGCGGTGCTTGGCGGATGTTGTTCTTGGGGAGAGAAGATGCGCGTGGCTTCGGGGCGGAGGGAATGCCGTTGCTGCGAGGAATTCCGTTTGCGCGGGGACAGCGGCCATTGTACTGTTTCTGAAACGGCGGTGTGAAGGGGTCTGAGAGTCGAGTGGCAGTGGATGTGCGCAGAGGGGATCGGGGAATGCGCAAGAGTCAAGAGTCGTGCGTTGCGAACGAGAAGTACTCTTCCGAGAATGGAGAGCAGGATTGAGGCAATCGAAAGTTCGTTGAATTAAGTCGGTTTCGGTCGTGTGTTGAGCGATGTGGAATCAGGAAGTTGGAGCAGGCGGCTGGCGGCTGGCGGTTTTGGGGAAGCCAACTTGGATCCGTCTGAACCCTGGTGAGGCTGGGAGGGAAACGTCATTGTGGCGCCCTCCACAGAAAGCGACATCATCAGCGGCCGGGGGTGTTGCTGTTTCGCGCAGGCCGCATAATCGCCATGGCTGGAAGGGGACATTGCCGTGGCTGCGTAGTCCGGGTGCGGGTAGGCGTGCCACTCTACCTCCTCGTTCCTTTCTGAAATCTTAATGTCTACTATTGCGGCTGTGTCGTCGTGAGACATCTCCATTGTACAGTATAGCCAAAATGTCGGCGCCGAAGATAGACAAGGGCGCTAAGCTGGGCGCTGGCCTCTCCATGGCCAAACCGGATACTCAAGGCCAGCAACACCCAGCAGGCCCGCCTGTCCATGGCCCGATGGGACAGGCAGAACGTGCCTTTTCGGCAGCCTCAACCTTCATGTCTGGCGTGTTAGCGTAAGTTCAATCAACCGAGCAGCACACGAGCGGTTTCTTACTCGCTTCGCCCGAACAGAATCAGTGCATCCCAATTCCTCGGAGCACCACTGAAACTGATCGATCCAAAATCCTACGATGGCTATATGGCATGGACGAAAGAGTCCTTTGCCGTGCTTTGCACCACCATGACCCAGTGGTGGGCGCCCACGGTGGTAAGGGTTAGTGGCGACGAAAGTATGCGCGGTCAGCTTTTCCAGATGGACGACGGTAGCCTCAGGTGCAATTTCCCTCATCGACTGGTCATGATGGCAAATCACCAGGTATGTCCGCGGCAAATGTATGAGTATGCATCTGCTCACCTTATACGTGCAGCTATATACAGACTGGCTATACCTCTGGTGGATTGCATACACCAATAAAATGCACGGACGCATCTACATCATCCTCAAGGAGTCCATCAAGAACATACCCATCTTCGGCTGGGCCGCTCAATTCTACAACTTCATCTTCCTTTCCCGCAAATGGGAAGTCGACAAGTCGAGATTCAAGAGACATCTGAGCGAACTCAGCAATCCCCAGGATCCCATGTGGCTTCTTATCTTTCCCGAAGGTACCAATCTAAGTAAAACTACCAGAGAGAAAAGCAAAGCCTGGGCAGACAAGCAGGGCATTGCAGACATGAAGAACCTGCTTCTGCCCAGGAGTACAGGTCTGCACTTTTGCTTACAGGAATTGAAGAAGTCCACGAACTGGCTGTATGACTGCACCATTGCATACGAGGGCATACCGTGAGTATTCCTGGAAACAGCATCTTGGCTGTGACGCAAACTGACGAGGAATACAGACCAGGGCAATACGGCCAAGACATCTTCACTCTCCGCTCATCGATGTTCGAAGGTCGTCCGCCGAAATCAGTCAACATGTACTGGAGACGTTACCGCATCTCCGAGATACCGATCGAGAGCGACGATGCCTTTGCCATGTGGCTGAAGAACAGATGGACCGAGAAGGACTATCTACTTGAGTACTTCTACCGTCATGGCTCTTACCCTGAGGGTGACCCCATCAAAGCTATGCAGGCGGAGGCTGCGGCTGCCAAAGCTGCCAGCGAGGCAAAGAACGGAAAGACTGCTCCAAAGTACGAACCTAAGCACGCCAAAGCCATCTCGACTGAAGTGAGATCAAATGGCTGGGAAGAGTTCCTTTCAATCTTCGGTCCTATCACTGCAGCCGCCACCGCTGCCAGCAGTGGCGAATTGCCCGAGGGATTCGATTTCGACGCACTCCTCAGCAAGGTCGCACAGCAACAGCAGATGAACCTCCTGACGACGGGCGTGGCATCCAAAGCCCCGAAGAACGTCGAGGAGATGCGGCAAGCGCTAAAGCAAGCCTCAAAGACCCAAGGACCACCTCTCGCCGCCTTCCAACGACCACAACTAGGTCCTTCCCGTCGAAGCAGCACCCAAAACACTCGCGACGCGCTCCTCGCCGCCTCCAGGCCCCGCAAACCCTCCACGCCACCCGCACCATCCAAGCTCACCTCATCCAAACCCGCATCCACCACCTCCGCCGCACCCAAGCAGCGCGAAATGGATCCTGCCATCGCCAAAATGCTCGCCGACACGCACGAACAAACCCGTCAAGCGCTGATGAAAGCCTCGATCCCCGTGGGCCCTTCATCCCGCCGTTCCAGCACCCCGAACATCAGGAACACGGCCATGAAGATGACGCCCACGGAGACGGCGGTCACGAGACCCTTCTCTTCCATGGCGGTAAACAAGATGGCGGGTGGGGTCAAGAATGCCACGGGTGCGAGGAACGCCGCGAGCAAAGCTGCTGCGAATCAGGCCGATAAGGCGGCCGCGCAGGCGAGGCAGCATGCGGCGAACGCGAAGGGAGGAGTGAATGGGGTTGCCAAGGTGGCACAAGGGGCGAAGAAGTAGTGGCAACCACGCGGTGAGGGAGGAGGATGATGATGAGAGTGGTTTCTGTTGGGGGTTTTCTCCGCTGGAGATGGGCGCTTTGTATACGAGATCTATGACTTGGAACTGTACGAGAGACCTACTTTTTGTGAAGAAAAAACCGTAATGCGATGGAGGCAGGCATACACTGGTCTCTCCGGGCTTCCCTGCTTTGGTTGTAAGAAAAGTTTCCCACGAAGGTATTCCGTAACGAACAACGCGGTCCCAGAACCATTGTCAAACAAAGAACAGCATTAGCTCTACGCTCTCGAAATGCTTGTATACAAGGCTCACAACAAGGAGGACACAGACTCGTACAGCCAAGCATTCGCTGTTATTCATCAAGTTAACCTAACCGAAGAGCAAAAGCCGAAAATAAACGTGAGGAGAACCGGAAGCCGTTTCTCTGCCATCGGAGCTTTTTCCGCATGAGAGAAAAAAGAATCTCCGCCCTAGATTCGCTCGATCCTCTCCCAGGATCATCCCAGCAAAAGCAGAGGAGATCATTGCAATGCCCCGCAAAAATGACCGTGCCAGGGGTCGAACCTGGAATCTCTTGATTTCGATGATGGAGTCGTAGTCAAGCGCCTTGCCATTGGGCCACACGGCCGTTGCTTGGTTTTAAGCATTTTTGTTAATAATATATATTTTCCCCACCGAAGGTTCTACCTACAAGCAGCACGCTCTTGCCCACGATTTCAACATGTTTAGGACGTCTTTGTATGCTCTGGTACCTACTTTCTCGCCTCAATACAGTAGTGGCGCCGGATTCCGGGTTTCCCTGACGGTGCTTTTCCCTCTTTCTTGTTTTAACGGCCTTCTGACGAGTACCGACAACCGAGCAGCTGTGGACGTCCTTTGACGTGGTGGATGTGAGTGCTGCGTACGACTTTGTAGTTGGTCTGTGTGATGTGTGGCATCATGATAACGGTAGCTGTTCGAAGACCGCAACGAAGTAACTCGGGCCAACAAGTACGTGTTTGTATTGTAGTAGTGCTTGATTTTTATCTTTGTATCTTGACAATTGCTGGCATCCCGTCCTTTGGGATAATCCAGCTGTAACAATCGTTTCTTTTTCTCCCTCCTCTTCTTCGATCCATTTTCTTGGCGCGCTTTCGACGCTGACACATGATAGTCATCGGTCTCTTTGCGCCATGTTGGCCGTCTTGGATGAGGCTCTTGTAATCATGGGAATGCAGCATGATTGGCTCTTCTTCTGGAATACCGTTCGGTCTTTCGCAACTTACCAACCGCGGTGGCGAGCGCTGTTGTTGACTCCGGATATGCGGTCCCTCGTGATTATGCTGTTTTGTGTGATGTAGGGGTTTGCCGGTTGATCGGCGTCTCTCATCCACCGTCTTTCTCGTTCTTCTTGCCAGCTTTTGCGAACATGCCTGCAACACTCCCCACCCCTTCGGCGCTAATCTCAGACACTCGAACCGGGCCTCGGAGACTTTCTTGCCCACTTTGACGCACTCAATCACCCACTCGACGCTCACGAACTTCACACTCTTGCCGCCTACGCGTGCAATCTCTTTCTGTATCTTGCTGCTGGATAACCCGCCTCCAGCACCACTGCCTTGAGCGGATCCGTTGGGCCGTCCGAGGATTACGTGTGTTACTGAGCGTCGTCCCAGTGCGATGGAGATGTTTGCGCCGTGGGATACGAGAAGGTGTTTGAGTTTGTAGTCTGAGATTGTTGGCGCAGTGGAGCCATTTATGTAGATTGTGAGGCCGGCGAAGACTTGCGGTGTTTTTGACGTTGGCGGATGTAATTCTCCTTCTTGCAGTACCTCTTTCTGTGACTCGATTCGCTTCGACTCCTCGAACCGGTTCTGCGTAACGCCAAGCGCACTGTCGTCGCCAAATGCGCCGTTGTCGCGGTCGTGTCCTTCCAGACCCTTCTTCTTCTTCTCGTCAAGATCGCCATTCGTAACACCCTCTTTCTTCACTCTAGCCGCACCCCAAAACTCTCCATAAGACTCAACTGCCCACCCGTCCTCAACCCCTTCGCACCCTTCGCCCACCCTCCATTTGCCAGCCTGTCATCCTTGCCGAAATCCTCACTACCTGCGCCCACCGTGTCCGCGACTCTTTTCCCGCCGCTCAGCCCGCCGCCAAATTGGGAGCTTAACTTGAGAGAGCGAGATTGACGCCATGATGTGCTGCCTGAGAGACGATTGTCCGCGCGTTGGTGTCCGGTTGAGGAGGAATTCCAGGGATCGAAGTGTGCGCGCGTGGGTTGGCCGGCGAGAGGGTGGGTGTTGTTGACGGAAGTGGGATGGTGGGGTGGTGGGGAAGACATGGTTGGTGAGGGGTTGGCTGGATTGATTGATTGTATGCACCTTCTCGATCTTCAGTGAGCCATGAACCTGTGTAAATATATGTAACGCTTCCTCAGTTGTGACACTCGTGCTCATGTACTTTGGTAAATGCGAGGATCGAGTTGTTTTGAAATAGATAGTGATGTAAACGGAAATTCTGCGTCGCGCAGTCACGTGGGCTCATTTCGGTCCTTGGACTTTGACCGTTTCTCTTTGCTTTCAACCTACTTCGGCACATTTTGAGTATTCCAAAACGGTACTTCATGTCGCTTGCGAAACATTGGAGGTACAGACCTGCGACCAAGCATCTGTGGTTTAGAACATGTTGAGGGTCATTATCTCGCGGCCTTCCACGATTTCAGACACAGCCATCAGCGATTCGCTGCAGCTCCTGCATAGCCGCCCCTCCACCATCATGGCAAGGCTGAGCTGATTAAAACATGAGGAACAGCCCGCTGCCTGCCCGATGGACTTGACTTCATTTTCGTATTTGGACCTGGGTGGTGTACAAGCCAGAACCTTGCTTCAAAACCCTCTAATATATAGACCACCTAGTATTTATTTAATTATATAGAACTTGAGTGCCGCCATTACCTTCTTGAGTGTTGCAGCTCGGAACGGTCATACACTCTTCCTACCGGCTGAGAGGTATGGCGCAGAGCTCAGTGTTCTCTATGGAGCTGCAGAATGACTATGGAGTCCTCGCTCTCATCACTACCATCGCTTCGTTGTTGGGTTTGATATACTTGTCCAGACAGCGTCGCTTGCAAGCCGAAGAGCGCGTGCAAAGGTCTCTACATCCACACCCGAACCATCGACTTCCGAGCTACTCCATCCCGAATCAGCCAATTCAGCAAAACCGGACTCAACCAAGACCGCAGCACCCAGACCTCCCAAGTTCTGGCGTGCTGTTGGTGATACACGCGAAGAGCTGGAAGCTCCACTGCGAGAGTTTTATGGCAAGCAGGATAATGCAAGCGGTCGTCAACGTTCCTTGCTGGACTTTGTTCGAGAAGAGGACGATAGCTGGTATGCAATTATTACCAGCACCATCGAGCCGAATGTGGAAGGCGTGGTGTGCAAGGAAGACTTTCTAGGCATTACTCCACTTTTCGTCCCGGATGAGGCTTCTGTAGAGTGAGTATTCATGAAAAAGGGATCACCGGAACATACACTTACGTGCTGCATCTCGTAGTGTGGTAGCACTTTCTGGCCTTGGTGGTCATCCTCTCGGATCCTTTCGTTCTAGCGATGGATGGAAAGTATGGCTTCGAGACTTTCTGCGCAAAGATATTCCGAAAGCTCGCGTGTTGGTGTATGGGTATGATACAAGACTCGCCGGAAGCAAGAGCAAAAGCTCTATTGGAGATCTGGCCAAGAGTTTCTTGGATAGTCTGGGCGTGTTTCGGAAGCGGACGAAGGTGATTCCTGTGTCAACGACATTTGGTAACTAGGGCTAATTGCGCGTCAGACAAGCCATCGCCCCATCGTTTTCATCGGCCACAGCTTGGGTGGGCTAGTAGTCAAAGAAGTGAGTCTTGCCTCTGTTTGTTTCTTCTCGATAGCGAGTGGCTAAGTCATATGCAATCTGTTAGGCTATCGCAAAAGCGCGAGACAGCAGTGGTGGGGAGAGCAACAACATTTATCGGTCCACCTACGGCCTCGTGTTCCTCGGAGTGCCCAACCTTGGCCTCAGACACGAACAGTTGCTGACAGTCGTTGACGGTCAACCGAATGAAGGGTTGATTAGAGATCTGATTACAGACAAGGATTCGGAGCCTTCAGCTTACTTAAGAGAACTAACAGACAAATTTGTCAAAGCTTCGATTGAACAGAAAGCGGAGTTCGAGATTGTTTCATACTACGAGACACAAGAGAGTGCTACCATAGAGATCAAGGATGGAGCACCAACGAGGAATGGCCCTTCTACGATGATGGTCACCAAAGTCTCGGCCGAGCGCGTTGGCCATCGTGTGCGTGATGATAAGCACATACCACTTGCGACTGACCACCGAGGACTGGTCAGATTCGAGCAACGACCAGACGAGAAGTACCTTTCAGTAATGGACAAGATACACGACCTTGTTGAAGAAGCACCACGGGTTGTGCAAGGCCGGTTCAGGAACTTTGAAGGTCTGTAAGGTCATGCCATGCATCGGTGTTCTCGACAGTCCGACCGACCGACCGACCAACTACTATCGCAAGGCAGCAACAAGCCCCCTTCTTGTGCATACATGAAATGTATCTAGATTCAAGGGTGTGCTATGCTCGCCCTAACCGCTCAGCAGCAGCGGCAAAGGTACAAGACTCTGGGCATCTACTTTCCTTGATGCTTGCTTAGCGGTGCCGCTGCATTGCGATAGTAGTTAGTCAGTCGGTGGAGCTGACTGTTAAGAGCGCTGCCCATGCGTTACGAACGTATTGAGTAATGCGGGTGACTCACATCCGTGCTACAGACCTTATGCCACAACAAAAGCGAGCATGGAACGCCATGAACAGACCACCGTACTCCAAAATCAGAAATTCGGACAAACTTGCGAAACCAGAGATGGGAACGCTCCAGTGGCTTGTTGCCCCCAGCAATGGTGCCACGACCAAAGACTCGGCTCTCTCAAGCGTAGATTTCCTTGCGTGGAGAGATTCAGAGATCTCGGGTTGCTTATTAGTCACGGCCCCTCCCGGACGAGGCAAGTCGGTTTTATCGAACTTCGTCGTCGAGCATATGGAAAAGGCCCTGCAAAGCGGAGCGGGCAACGGTCCAGCATCCATCGTCCTCTATTACTTCTGCACGATTAGGAATGAAGCACGGGATCGTACCGCAGAAGCCATACTTCGGGCACTCATCGTCCAGCTATGTGAGCGTCAGCGTAGCTTGTACGAATGTCTTCCGCAAGATTTCGAGAGAGACAGTGAGAAGTTCCTCTCGGCGCCTTTTAGCGTCCTCTGGGATCTATTTGATCAGTGCATGCTCTCTAGCAGAGTGTACCAGGACGTTTATTGCGTCATCGATGGCCTTGACGTTTACAGCAACGGGATGGTTGAGCTAGTCCATCATCTGACCGGGGCTTTCGGCTCGAAGGGGGCGACGGATAGACCGGTGATGAAACTCTTCTGTACAAGCAGACCACATGGCGATATCCTCAACGGATGGGGTCATTACCCAACGCGAGAGCTGCGAGCGAACCCGGATGATCTCAGTGTGTTTATACGTGGCAGCATAGAGCGTCTCCCGAGAAAGTTCGACAATCACATGCGCCAGGCCATCCTCGATGAGCTCCAGCGAAGA